GTGACTCATCTCGAAGTTCAAACAATCAAGTCTTGTTCCCCATTGCACAAATGACAAAACAACACAGAAAACAGCGCAGACCCTGGACGAAGCTCCTTGTAGGCCGTCCCCGTCTCCACACAGGAGGAACCGACCAACTTCAGGACCTCAAAGCTGTGCTATGGTTGGCCAAGCACAGCTGAAGTCAACTAGCGAACTAGTAACTGTTGGTGAGCCCACCCTCCGATGACAAGGCACACCGAAGAAAACAAGTGCCACACGGGCCACCATTGCTTTTGTGTGGCGGCACGTCTGATCTTGAGCTATTTCAAAGATGAAGCTGCGGTTCCATATCTCCATATATCTCCACAAGAATACCAGGAATGCTAGAATTTGCTAGAAGCTTGCAAAAGCCGAATGCCTAGATCAGCCTAGATCCAAGTGTCTTTCCTTATCAACTTATCGACCAGCCAGTGCACAACCCACATGCTTTGCGCAACGGCGAGACGGAGTGCTGGAGAGGTTCAAGTTTGGCGCTTCATTGGCGCTTCTGACGTCTGAGGATCCCTCTTTCAACTTTCAACTGTTCGAAAAAAAAAAAAAAAAAAAACATATAAACATTGTAAAAATACAATAGAATATATAAAAAGGATGAGTTTGGATGTGAGTCTGACACCTTGGAGCCGTCCAATGAACAATCATGATGGACCCTTGTATCGTAAAGGGCATTTCGCCACACAAAACATCACTGAAATTCTGGCTTGGCATTCTCAGGCCTGCCACTACAACCTCCTTCGCATCGCTTGCAACATCTTGCAACAAATGACTCGTTCCATCGCCATCGGTGGTCATGCAAGCTAGGGCCTGCTAGGGTCCGTCTCTCATTGTCCCGCCTTGTCACCATTGTTGGAACCTCACAGTGACCCCAACATGCTTCACGACCCAAGCGTTCAGTGTAACCGACTACAAAAGAAACATGCCAGTGTCAGCTGGCCAAGAAACCCTGTGACGTTGAGGAGACTCACCTTTGGAAACATGTTGTCAAGTCATGTTGTCTCATTATGGCAAAAACTACTGTACCAATATCCACTCAAAAATAAACATGTCAAAAGAATTCAAAAGACGTTCTTAGTCAGATCCTTTGACTTCCACCTTGATGACTCCCTCTCACACCTCCTGTCATGCCCTAGAAACTCTGGCCTCAGCATCGGCTTCCTTTTGAGCCTTTGTAGGCCGTCCCTTTCTCCCAGGAGCCGCTGGCTAGCTTGACCTCAGAACTGTGACGTTGAGGAGACTCACCTTTGGAAACATGTTGTCAAGTCATGTTGTCTCATTATGGCAAAACAAATTGTAATTGAAAACATGTCAACACAAAACACTTCTAATCGACGAGGCGCAAAAAGAATGCCAGTGCAATCAGAAGCATTGCATGTTGCCGCACTGTTAAAGTTCATACGCGTGAAGCTTACAGTGTCTGAAAGTTTCACACCTTTGAACTTTACAGCAGCTCAAGTTCATACTTTGAACGAGAGCTGTTCTAAACATCAAGCTGCGGCGAATCTCAGCAATGGGAATGAACATATAATGTCCTCCAGTTATATAAATATATTTAAGTATCCACAAGGCTGCTGCTGGTGTACAACCAGCTTGGCTAGCGCCTATCGTGGCTGCGCGACTGAGTTCGGACTTTTGTCCAGAAGGCAGGTCAAGTTCATTGACGTGCAGCCCGTGAGAGGTTCCCCAGAAGGCTTCATGTGAGGATCGAACTTTCAGCTGGCGGCAAACAAGCCAGAGTTAAGCAAAGTTATGCTTTTTGGAAACTGTTAGACAAAGTACCATCCCTCCTGACACCTCAAGCTTGTGAGCTTCCTTTGGATCTAACTCACTTTGGAGTCGAGATCCATTGGCCCACAGCTTACAGTGGATCCTTACGATGAAGCTCTAGAAAGTCCCACAAATTCATCATCTATGGTCACTGCTTTATGTGGGACCTTCCAGGCTTCAGTCCAAGAGGCCTTTCCCTTTGGCATCTACGCTGGTGGCAAGTGATGCAGCCGGGGCTTTGCAAGGCCTTCGCAAAGGTAGAGGGCAGGGTGTGGTCATATATGTGATGAAGAACGTATCATGAGGCCTCTAGTGATTCAATTTGTCCCAGGTCTTTCCAGGGCCTTCCCGCCTTCCACGGATGGTGAAACGTAATGTACCTGAACCAGGTACACACAACGCGCTTGCGCGCGTCCGACGTTTGTCGGAATGCTAGGCCCTGTGCGCCACCACAGTGCGAGGGGTCTGGTGGAACCTCACTCCAAGGATGCTCAAATCCACTGGGTAGCACACAGCAGGCTCAGCAGAAGCAGATTTAGAAAGAAACAATATTGAGGTGAAGAGGAACTGCACAACACCCTGGACCCTGGATTGGACCTTCCCCTATCTCTGACTTCCATCAATCGGTTGCCACAACCATCCTTCAAATCGACGAGCGTCTCAAGAAGAATGCTAAAGTTCGTTCTCCAAGGCACAAGGGCGCGACAGGCTCTGTGGGCAGAGCCATATAGCTTGCCGGTTGTGGCTGCGAAGAATAGTATACAACGGGCGGCGCGCCCAGTTGGAGGCCTGCGCCATAGTAAGGCGCTTCCTGATTGGCAAAACTGACACAAGGAAACCAGATCTGCCGGATGGCTGATGATAGTTGGCATACGATGCTTTCAAAATGGTTCATAGAGATCTCATGAGATCTCTGTTCATGGTCAGAAATGCCTGGGCCTACACCTTATGAGACAAAAAGTTATGCTTGGACTGATTCTTCCCCCTCAGAACTTTCGAGCTGATTCTAGCTCCCAACTCCCCGTTCGGCACATCATGCTGCCCAGCAGCCACGACGGGGGGCATGGCGGGGGGCGCCCCGTCGCCAGTTTCCAGGTCGAAGGTGGCGTCCGGATTGGCCATTTTTGCATAAAGCTGCCAAGCCTTCTTTGGCTCCCCAGGCCTTGGTGGTCTATCAATGCAAGTGGTCCACATGCCCACACTCAAACATATACAACATACAACTATCATGGCGCTTCAGACACTTTTCAGGTTCAACAGGTCAGAACCCTGGAAGACACACCACACCCACTGCTGATAGACCTTTCTTCTTCTTCCTCTTGGTATTTGTATCCATCTTCTTCCTTCCTTCTTCCCTCCTTTTTGTTGATCTCCTTCCTTCTTCTTTCTTCTCTATTCTTTCTTCCTTTCTGTTTCCTCCTTCCATCCTTTTTTTGCTCTCTTGTGTTCTGTCTTTCCTGATGTATGTCTTGCTGCCTTTTCTTTATGTTGTTTTTGTTTCATATCTGGTTTGTTCTGTTCTTTTCTGTTCTCTGTTGTTTATTTCTGTCATGTTTCTTTCTTTTATTTCTTTTCTTTTCTGTTCTTTTCTAGTCTTGTCTTTTCTCTTTTCTTTTCATTGTTCTTTTCAGTGTTTTCTTTTCATGCTTATTTTCTGTGCTTTATTTTGTCCCTTTCTTTCTTTCTTCCTTCCTTACTTCTTTCTTTCTTTCTTCCCCTCTGTCTTCCTTCTTCGCCTTCTTCCTTCTGCCTTCTGCTTCTGCGTCCGTGCTGCGCGGGAAGGCCTCGCTTCTTCTTCGCAGCCGGAGGAGCACCACCCATGAAGTAAAAGCCGCCAGCAGCCAGGAGAGCAGCACCCAAGCTGCCGCCAACGATGGCATAGAGCTGGTCTCAGGGGAGGCGGAGCTGATAGAGCAAGCGGGGGGAAGCGGGAGGCGAGCTGGGTGCTGGCGTTGTCAGTGCAAACCAACACCATGCAGCCCACAACCAAACCCAACACGGCAACCCTTCCCAATTCACCGCAAATGTTTGGGGGGTTCACTGTGTCACGCAAGTCAGCATGGTGCAGCAACCCCAAGGATCTTCAAACAAGTTGCTGTTGCCAGCGGCTGCCGGCGCAACAAGGCTCTTTCCTCAGCTTTATGGCGTAGGCACAAACACCGCCCGAAAGACCAAAGAAAAGTGTCTTATGAGATCTGATATGCTCTATTTTCACTTTAGGGTCTCCCAGGCAATAGCCACATGATATGCACAATGTACGTGAAGAGTCTTTGGATATCGTTCAGCAACATGTCGCATAGTGTCGTATCATTCCTTCAAGCATTTAGTGTAACCGACTACAAAAGAAACATGCCAGTGTCAGCTGGCCAAGAAACCCTCGATCTCTGGCACTTCCGGAGAAAGAATGTGGTCAGTTACGACAGTCGCTTGTGGACATTCTTTTGGTCCACTCACCGCCTGGCCCGCTGCTGAGTGTCTGAAGCACCATGAGCTGTTGGCTGCGATGGATATCTATACAGACTCTGTCATGTGGACCACAGTATAACATGTAACTTTGCTGGGTTTGATGCTTATTTCTCCGGGAATCAAAATTATATCCAAATTCCTAGTTCATCAGTCTAACCTACATCATCGCTCTTTTGCTGCAAGTAGTATGACAGAGGTTGTTCAAATCTTTCGGAATTTCCAGGGACTGTCGAGAAGGGTCTAGCGATGTGAGACATTTTGTACCAAAGTACAACAAAGAGACACTCTAGTTACCAACTACTGTACCAATATTCACTACAAAACCAAACATGTCAAAAGAATTCAAAAGACGTTCTTAGTCAGATCCTTTGACTTCCACCTTGATGACTCCCTTTCACACCTCCTGTCACGCCCTAGAAACTCTGGCCTCAGAGTCGGCTTCCTTTTGAGCCTTTGTAGAAATCAACCAGCACCCGCCAGCTGGCAGGGTGTCCTTCTTGAAGGTGAAGGTCTTGCACAATGGATCCTGCCATGGAACGCGGTCCAACAAGAAGATCAAGAAGGATCTGCTCTTAAGAGTATTTCAAGGGTGCTCAAGGATCTGGGAGAGAAGGAGATGCAAGAAAATGAATTGACTTTATGGGCAAAATGAGCCTAAGGTCCTAATCGAAGAGACTTCGTTGGGAGTGCAGTAGACAAAGCCATGCAGAAATTGTATGCTATTTATTCGACTTGATCACGTTTGATCCATGAGGCCCGTCGCTGGCCACGGGTCGCCTGCTTGCACTTGGTCTGGCAATCTTCCCAAGCTGCAACGAAGAGGCCGGGCGCTGGGAGGAACGGGTCCTGCAGCAAACTACAGGCTTCGATGGGGTTTGAACATTTCAATAATTTAGATCTTTGGATGAGTCTCGAACAGGTCATTGAATGCACGGAAGAGAAGTTTGGTAGTGTCGTATGTAGTTACAACATGTTGATCTATTCTTGAAGCCCCTCAAATACATTGCATTGCTGAATTTCACTTGGTGGTTCAAGATTGGGAGAGCACTCTAATTTGAACTAAATATATCCAAATACAATCAAATACAATTAACACAATGACAGGGCATATATCTAAAGTCTGATCCACTGAAAAGATATGAGCTGAGCATTGCAAAGGGTAGTGCCACGTGAACCACACAAAAGCAAGGCAGTACCATTATCAAAGAGCCTCAAAAGTAGTAGAACGCAAGTGTGACTCATCTCGAAGTTCAAACAATCAAGTCTTGTTCCCCATTGCACAAATGACAAAACAACACAGAAAACAGCGCAGACCCTGGACGAAGCTCCTTGTAGGCCGTCCCCGTCTCCACACAGGAGGAACCGACCAACTTCAGGACCTCAAAGCTGTGCTATGGTTGGCCAAGCACAGCTGAAGTCAACTAGCGAACTAGTAACTGTTGGTGAGCCCACCCTCCGATGACAAGGCACACCGAAGAAAACAAGTGCCACACGGGC